CAACATCCTTTGCCTTAATCGATGGATTTAAACAAACATTGGCAGCCAACGAAGATGGTAAAACATAAGGGTCAAACCTTTTATTCCCCTTTTGATGAATATGTCCAGTGCAAGTATGAATATTATTTAATTTTTTTAATGATAAAACAACCACTAGGTTGTTGCACAGTAGCATGAACACATCATTGATACCCTTCCAAAAGTTTCTTTGACAAACAGCAGTAACACGTTTCCAATCATTCTAAAATCAAAACTAACCTCAATAGAATATTGTGTAAGTTATCTACGAAACTGAATTGCACCATCTTCATAACTTTGACCCTCATATGAAATATAACTCTGCCACTCATTTGTTGCATAATGGTGAGGTCCATAAGAGTCATATTTACTTAAATCTTAGTTCTCATCTCCAATACCAGTAGCTTCATTTAAGCAACAAGACGACACATTACTAGTAGAAACAAAAGACATCTGCTTCTTAGCATGAACATAAACATAAACAACTGGATTTGAAAAGAATTTATTCACCAATAGAAGGGTCTGAATATCTTCCTTGAACTCAAATAAATAGTTTGGTTCGCCTCCATATAATGAGTATTTCAACAAAAAGCCTCCTGATGACAAACTTGGAAACCTAAAAGTTAATAACCCACACAAATCCTCATAGCTAGTATGTGGATAAAGCGGCACAACTACTACACAATTTTCATATACACACTTCAACACTTTAATAACGGACATGATCTACACACAAAAAAAAACATAAAGTTAAACTAATGCTGCACGGAAATAATTAGATATATATATATATATATAGATGCATTTCAAAATGTAAATATAATAATCAATAAAAACTAATGCTACACAAAATCATTCAAAAATGATGAAACTCTTAATATGACACACCCTAACAGGAGTCGAGGCATGTTGGCCATCACCCAAATGTGATGTAACCAAAAGTGCAAGTGATGTAAGAAAAATGTGAATAAATTAAAACTGAAGCTATAACTTATTTAACTACTAAAGTGACTGCATAGTGTGGGTAGAACCCATAGAATACAATTGTTCAGAGTATAGATAACATTAGCAATGCAGACGAAACTAATTAAGTACTTAATACACAACGGAATAAGTTCCTACTTTTAAACAGGAATATGTCAGAATCGCCACTAATCCTCGCACGCCACAGAGTAGGTCAGCTATCTAGGACCTGGAGGGGCGAAAAACAGAAGGGCGAGTGGACACAACACAATATCTCATCAACAATATAAATATCATCATGTGCATGCCAACAGTATAAATATGAAATCCAAGGCATGCCAACAGTAAATCCAGAAATATGCCATAACACAATATCTCATCAACAATATAAATATCATCATGTGCTCAACAATCTATACTAGCATGCAAGTCGGAGTCGCGTAATGTTACCTCTACGACTGCAGTTATAGCTCATCAATCTATGCTAGCATACGAGTCAGAGTCACCAAATGCGACCTGTATGACAGGGACTAAGTGTAATAATATACGCTTTAGTACTAGAATCACATGAAGACTAGCCTTATTCGCTGTCACATACGAGTCGGAATTGCCTATTGCAATTTGTACGACAGGACTAACACTTACTTGGATCCAAGGCGAGGGTGCGGTGCTGATGTGAACAACACTTGAAAGACTAGCCTGGCCCTGGGCTGAGCACTAACACCTGGGTGTAGCAATGATGAGCATACTATATGAATGTAAGCATGCCATAGTGATTCAACAATTTCAATCAACATAATAACCTTACCTGGACTTACCTACGCATCTCGTAATTATTTTAGCATTTCATAACAGTTTAACATTTATGAGCATGTAAAATGCATATGAATATGCCATGACGATATATAAATCTCAACCACATAACAACATTTTTAAAATTAATAAAACATGACATAAAATGCATAAATCAATTTAAAAACATTTGTGGAAACTATAAAGTTTATATATATACACGAAAACAAAAATGCCCACTCACTAATATGTCGATGTATCGTAGCCCCCTAGTCTCGCTTGCCCTCGTGCATCCTTGGGGTAAGTCTCCCCTATATGCGAAAAAACTAATAATAATTAATTTAAATAACACACACTAGAAGCTAGGAAAAACTCCACATAGCTTGCTCAAACGGAAGGTTTGAATATACGAAAATGTTTTACTTGAAGTCACGGACCCGCACGTGTTAACCACTCACCAGCAGGAGGCCGGACGCGTAGCCACGCGCTGCCCAACCCACGGCTACACTCGCTTGGCAGAATCTGACAGAAGATAGGAATATTTTGTCAGAATTGATGCAATATTCCATTAAATAGTTAACGGAACCTGACACCATTACCTGAAACTTTTAGAATATTTCGTCAAGTCTGATGGAATATTCGCCGGCTTCTCCGGTGGGTCATCGTTGACCGTCGCCTGGTTTCGTAGGAATCAGGAGATTTTCGCAAGTTTTTGGGAAATGTTTAAAACCTTGTAACTTTGTCATTTCTCAACCAATTTCCATAAAATTATATGGATTTGAAGCTTGTGACAAGGAGAACAAAATCGTACCTCTTAAAAGTCCAAAATGTGGACGGAAGAGGACTGAAAAAGCCTTGAAAGTCTCAGCCTAGTTTTTGACTCTTTGAAACCTTGTGTTTCGACGTTGTCTCCACTCCAAACTTAGCCTAGGGACTCCAGGGAGTTGTGGAGATGCTTCCACAACCTTCCAAACTTCATAACTCAGCCGGGATCACATCGAAGCTAAGTCGTCCAAGTCGGAGCTTCCGAGTCAACGACTCAAAACTCATCCATTTGAGAATCAGTTGGTATGGCTAGGTTTGTGAGCTCGAGAGGAGTATGATGGTGGTGTTTGCAGCCTTGATCCGTGAAGTTTCATGCGTGTTCTTAAGAGTTGCAGAGAAAAAGAAGCTCGAGCGAGGAGAGAGAGAGAAGATGAAAGAGAGAGGTATGTTTTCTGATTGGGTAGAGAGAAGAGAGATCTGATTGGGGGAGAGATTTAAGCAAAAGGTTTGGTTGGTTGGTGAAGAGTAAAATGAGGGAAAAGGATAGGTTGTGAGTGAAATGGGGAACACGGGTCCAATTTGAAAAGAAGAGAGGATATGGTTTTCAGATTTCACACAGTAAAAGCATGCAAGAAAATCCGACTCCCTATCAAAAACAGTGTTTCTAACACTGATAATTTAGTACACATGCGTGTACAATTCTACTCGCTGTTAACGTACTTTAACCATGCGTAACTTTTCCATTACAGATCTGATTCGGGTCTAACTCGCGCTCATGTGTTCGCAACAACGTGTACTATTTAATTCCGATAGTGAGAAAAATAATTAAAATCTGCATAATCACATCCACGTCACTTTGCCAACAAGGGCATAAATGTCAATTTACACACTCGGGGAGAAATTACATAGAAAATTAGGGACAGGTCGTCACATAATGTTCTGAAAAAAGTGATGCTGCACAAATGACAATAAAATATTTATAAACTCTAATGCTACACAAATATCTATAACACAAATGCTACACAAAATGCCAAAAATGATTAAATAATCCATTAACTGGTTGGTAATCCATTGTTCTTTCAATAAACCAATGCCAAGCGATTCTTTGTGATTATATATAAATGATCATGCACAAATATTACGTTGAAAATTATTAAATATTTATGGGGGAGGGGGGTTTCCCCCAACCCCCCTCCCGGGAACAACCCCCAAAACTTATGACAACTGATTCATCACGATTCTATGAGTTGATGCTGCACAAGTATTGCGTTGAAAAATATTAAATGTTTATGGGGGGAGGGGGGGTTTCCCCCAACCCCCCTCCCGGGAACAACCCCCAGAACTTATGACAACTGATTCAGCACGATTCTATGAGCTGATGGTGCATCAATATTAATAACCTTTGCCAAAATACTAAACTAACTCATAATCCATTCCAATTATAACGAATATACATGATAACTATACTGCAAAAAATAGGAACTTCAATGAAAACAAAAGCAGCACAACGAAAAATCACCTTCGTCAAACACTCAAATAAAAACTAAATCAAAATCATCAAAACTAAAAAACCGTGCCTGCAAAAAACAAAAACAATCCAAAAAAAAAAAAAAAACTCAATGCGACCAATAAAAAATTGAAAAATCAGAGACTCATTTTAGAATCTAAATTGAAATAAATTGAAACACAATACTTAAAAAAATAAAATTCGGAACAGATAGAATTCAGAGAGATAAACTTGAGAGATACACTTACCTTTGAAGAAAACTTGAATGATTCGAATAAAAATTATGGCAAAAGATAATTGAGGGAGATGACGAGACATAAATCAGAACAGAAATTATTACTAGACCCAATTTTGTTTTTTTTTTTTTTCCTTTTTACTTCCAAATGTCTTTTTACTCAAAAAAAAGTTAAACACGACCTATAAAAAGGAGATCTACTATTATACAAGGATAATACTAAAAAAGCTAAAAATTATAAATCAAATTTACAAATCAAATGATGTGTTATCAATAAGAAATAAGTACGTTAGTCAATCCTTAAATGCTAATTCAATTATCAACTTCCACATCATTAAGCTACAAAATTTAATTTAAAATTTTAGTTTCCTAGCATTATCTGTTACTGAAAGCGCATCAAATCAAATTTGAATTAGTTGATCATCGTTCAGTAAATTCGAAGCCGCCAAACGCAGCGGTGCATTTCGGATTTGGATCCTCTCCTGACCTAATGGAGAGGATCCTCCTGACCAATCATCGTGGGCCGTTGGATTTTTATCCAACGGCTACAAACGGAGGGTCTCTTTAAAGTTACAATAATTATAGCTGTTGGAGAAAAATCCAATGGCCCACGATAATTGGTCAGGAAGATCCTTTGCATTAGCTCAGGAGAGGATCCAAATCCGTGCATTTCTTAATCTTGCAATAGCCTATCTTCTACTGTGTGCGGCAGCGGTTGCCTATTTCACCACGAAATTTGTGGGTTTGTTTGGGTTGTGTCTGCCTTGCCCTTGTGATGGGTTTTCGGGACCTCAAGGAAAAGTAACTGCTTTCAGATCATCTACCGTGTGAGAAAATCTGTTCAGTTCAATGGTCGGTTAGGAGAAAGTTCCCTTTCAATGTAATATGGGATGAAGACCCAAATTTCCATACAAAGTTGAAGTCCCTAAATGAGGCAAATGGGAGTTTTACGTATGAAGGTGAAGCGTCATGTAGCTCATTTTTGGTCGCTGAGAATGAACAAAGTGTTGAATTTGGTGTCGGCAACTTTGCAGGTGGGAAGAAACAAAGTTTTGATCTTAACGCAAAGAATGTAGCAGGTCGTAGGCCGAGACTTCGGCGCGGCCGCAGAGGGGGCTCTGTTGATAATGGAAAGTCGTCATCAGTTTTATCATATGATATGGTCCAGTCAGCGGCACAGGACATTCCTACATCTCCTTCCAGCGTTAGTAAAATGGGGAATGAGGTTTCGGTTACTGAAGTTTTTGTAAATTCAGGTGAGATTCATTATATCGGGTCTAATGTAATCTAAATTTGACTTTCGAGTCTTCTTAATTCTAGGTTTGCTGGTGTTAGCCAATTTCTTTCTCATACTGTATTCTAAGTCACTGTTTACTGTTTAGATCCAGTACAATGTTGTAATTTCATATTTCAACTTCATAAGTAGTACCCTTTTAGAGATATGACAAGGGTGAAGTATACGGCACCACGGCTAGCACTTCTATTTTACATTGTATAATTTATAGTAATAAGCGGTTGCCACTCATAGCTTGTGAACTAAATCCACATTTGTGGTTCCAGGCTTGATGCAGGCCTTTCTTAACGTCCACAGCAGGAGTAACATGTAGAATGGAACCTTAAACCATTTTAGATATGTATTTTCAAACATTTAAAGATATTTTGTTGCGGATAGCTTAGCGAACTATATAGCCTTGGATTAGATTTAGGCAATTTTTACTTTGATAATCCTCCTTCTTGTTCAGTTAGTTTTGTTTGTGTGGATTGACTTGGGATGTCTTGGTATAAATTTATTGGTGAATAGTTCTGTTTGGGCTCTCACCCCGTTTTTCAACTAAAAAAGATATTTTTGATACATTTATTTTTGTAAAACAGTATCTCTTACTTTTTCTTTCTTAAAGAAAAGAAAACGATTGTGAGAGACATTTGAATTGTCCTAGGAGATTCGGAAATATTGCAGTGGATTTGAGTTGTTAACAATTTATTTATTTATTTTTATTTTTTATACTTTAAGGTATTACCTTTGAAATAGCCGACCCCACTTAGTGGGAAAAGGCTTTGTTGTTGTTGTTTAAGGTATTACCTTTGAAGTTTGAGTTTAGAGGTGCTTTCCTTCAGCCAAAGTTCACACATGTTTTACTGTTTTGAAGATGTGCTGTAAGATCTTGCAGACTCATCATTGTTTCATTTCTGCACATATTATGCTAATACTACTTTTTTCATTTTTATGGATGCTCTTGTAATTTCAGATGGCATCGAAGCTTCTACAGATACGAGTTCGTCGGAAAGCGTTTCACGTGTTGAGTTGAATGAACATGTTGATGAAACTAAACCAATGGATGGATTACTTGTTGAAGAATCTGGATCCAACGCAGGAGAGAAACTAGGTTTTGACAGTAATGAGACAACTACGATTAGAGTACTGGAACAGGCACTCAAAGAAGAACATGCTGCTCGTGCTGCTCTGTATCTTGAACTAGAGGAGGAGAGAAGTGCTGCTGTCACCGCTGCAGATGAGGCCATGGCCATGATATTGCGCCTGCAAGAGGAGAAGGCATCAATTGAAATGGAGGCAAGGCAATACCAAAGGATGATAGAGGAAAAATCGGCTTACGATGTTGTGGAAATGAACATTCTTAAAGAGATGTCAGTTAGGAGGGAGAGGGAAAAGCATTTCTTGGAGAAGGAAATTGAGCGATACTGGCAAATGGTTTTTGGAGATGGTCATGTGGATTCAACTGAGAAGCCAACGCTGGAATTGGGACATAGTTAACTTGATTATGCGATCCCATCAACCGAGATAAAAGACTATACTCTTAATTGTGGAAAAGAACTACCAATGCCAGATTTGGATGAAGATTCCGACTCTTGCTGGACATGCATTTGCATCCAAGCATAGACTATTCACATTTATTAACTAGTTCTGATAAGTTCAGTCGCGAGTTTCAAGAAAAGGAAGTGGTGTCTGTGGATGAAAAACCTTCTTCTCAAGGAAAAGAGCTCCAGAAACTAGAGGTATATCAACAACGCAGCCCGTCACCTAGTCCCGAGGGACCTAGTTTCCATAAAAGTATTGTTTAGAATAATATTTGAATGTTGGGCTTGAAGAAAATAAAGCCCAAGGATGCCAAATAAAGGAGATATGCCTGAAGCCCAGCACTAAGTCCAGAAGCAAATTGAAACCTTCTCAGCCAAGATACAGGCCACGTGTTTATAATTGAAATGACAAGTGATGAAGACTAACCTACTATCAGCCAAAAAATACTTTCCAGTGGCATTACTAGTAAAAAGTTGATGACTCACTATCCTCCAAATGCTTTCTGATAAGAGCAAAAGCTACAACAATCGGGCCAAACTGCCTATAAAAGGAAGAAGAGACAACGGGGACAATGACACTCAACCAATGAAACAAACAAATATACAAATTCTGCTCTCAAGCCAAATTTGCATCCAAAAGCTAAAAGCAACCCAGATTCAATCCTTTTTAGCGATAGTTCCCTGAAAAAGCTATCTCTTGTCTAATATAAAAGCTCTGCTACCTCCCTTAGTGTTGTAGTATCGATTCCCTATTGTATACTTGTTTACCATCCATCCCTCTTTAGCATATAAACCCTGTAAATTCAAAGAGAAGTAACTACAAGAAGTTCAACCTTGCCAGATAAAGTGAAATCTTGCCCGAAGCTCTTTGTTTGTTTTCTAAATTAGTAGATCTACCGTGTAGTATACTTTTCAATATGTATTCAAGTCATTTCGACCTGTGTTGTCATTTGAGAGTCCTTTTTGCATATGGATCTGGTTAACTTAATGGACATGTTTTCATTAAGAGCAATGTAAAACCAAACAAATGACTTAAAGGGCTTTGGACTCCCTCAATTCGAACATACAAGATCATGAATTAAAAGTCCTTATTTACAAGGCAAGAAAAATAACTTAATGAAGACTTAACTTATCAGTGACAATCCTTTGATAACAAAAAGTTTGAGTAACTTGGGGCGCAAGTAATCGACTTAAAACATATTTGTTCTACATCTGCTATACTGAGATAGCAGTGGCACATCTAGCACTTAGTTTTGATTGCAATCCTCAAGGCCTACACCTAAGGCCCACAAAGGCACCTTTCAGAACTAACTTTGTTCTCTTCTTGTAGCACATCAACAAGCAAGAGCCCGACTGCACATCCAAAGTGCCAATCCCTTGAGGAGCTATGATGAGGTCCGAGGAGCCTTCTCTAGAGAAATCTTTGCCCAAACATAGTTTTGGCACACCCCGTGGGATCCGACTTAATCATGTATACCAAGAAGAAGAAGGAAGGAGAAAACCTTCAGGTGGAACACACAGTACGGACCACCCCATTGTTTACTAAGATCAAAGATGACAGATCATCCAGAAGATTTCCCCTTTGTACGAGGACCAGCTATTCTGGATAGCCAGACTTCATCTGAGAAGTTAGGAGGAAGGGTGGTCAATGATGACTTACAAGCTACCATGTTGCAAGTATTGAAAACTATGGAAAAGATTACACTGGAAACCAAAGGAGAAGTGAGTAAACTTTGTTTTGTAACATGGAGTCTACAAAGAAGATTAGATCTAGAGTACTCCACTCAAAAAATGGTTATGCAAGGGGAATGATGAGAGAAGTAAGCCATAAGAAAGAACCAGTTAACCCTCTATTTCCTTTGCTTGAGGACAAAAGGGAAAAGGGAAAAACAAGGAGGAATCTGGAATTAGTCAGCCAGTATTAGAGAAGATCCTGGAGACAGAATTGCTCGACACCCTATTATTTTCACTAGATAATAGGGAGTAGAGCGGGCAAGAACGAAAGAAGTATAGGATGTCCCAATTAATTCGAGAATCTAGCGGGAAAGGTGAGGCCACAAATGTGGACAAACCTCCCCCTGGAAGGGCTAGATGGAGGAAGCCCAAACCAAAAAAGGAAACTTTCTCAGGCAATGATCGTAGCCCGAAGTGGGAACCTCCTCATACCCCACCTAATAATATAGCCAACCAGCAACTCAGAGATAAGTTAGCCAAGTTAAGAAGAATGGTTCTCCATAATGCTTATCCTCAGGCTCGCCCATTGTTCAGGATCACCTACCAAAAACCATATCCTGAGTATATTGATGAACATAATCCTTTTCCCCTCAAATTTAAGATGCCCGCGTTTCCCACTTTTAGTGGAAAAGATAGCAGTGTGCCCTCTAGAGATCACATTTTCAAGTTCTCCAATCATTGCGTGGCATTTGAAGATAATTCTAATTATAAGTTAAGATTGTTTGGGAACTCGTTAGTTTGTCTAGCATTTTAGTGGTACTCTATGTTGCCCCCCAGTTCTATTACCAACTGGAGGCAAATGGAGATGGCTTTTCATGAACAGTTTTATAGGGTGGAGCCCGAGATGACTATCAATGATCTAGTTGAGGTAAAGCAATATGAGCATGAGTCTACAGAAGACTTCATGAAGAGGTTTAGAAAGACAAGAATGAAGTGCTAATTCCCTATTAATCATGCCCAGCTTATATCCATTGCTTAGAAGGCATTAAGGCTACCCTTAAGGAAAAACTTTGATGATGTACAGTTCAGTGAGCTCCAAGAGTTGGTGATTGTTGCCACAAAGTATGAGAAACTGTTGATTGAAGAATAAGAAGTCAAACACTCATCCAAGGTGCCTTATTTCTACAAAAATAAAGCTGCAATTCACCAAGTAGAGTTTGAAAGATCAAAGCCAGAAGAAAGTGATCATCATAGAGGAGAGGGAATGGACATGTATGCTGCAGAGATGACTACGCCTTTTAAACCATTAACGGTAAAGGGTTTAGTCCAGCCAGTCAAGGATCAAAAGGTGGTAATGAATGATGGTGGATTTGTCCCTATGAAGCCCCCTAAGTACTAGAGTTATTCTTTTGATTTGACCAAGGCTTAAAAAATCTATGAAGAGTTGGTGCGGGCAATAATGATTGTGCCTGACAGCACCAAGAAGATGCCTAAGCCAGAGGAATTAAGAGGAAAGAAGTATTCCAAGCTGCACTGTACCTTAAACCATTTTATAACTAATTGTGTCCAGTTCAGGGACTAGATACAAGACCTCATAACGAAGGGAAAATTGCTTCTGGAGAAACCAGGCCAATATGATGGTTGACACTGATCCTTTCCCAGAGGCCCCAATAAACATGATCATCCTAACTTGGGTTGAGAAAGGGAAGGGAAAAGCCACTTGGGAAGTAAAAGCAGAAAGAAGACAAGTGGACAGACCTACATAAGGAATTATCAAGTTGCCCAAGAAACCCAAAGCAGCTATAGTTAAAGGGTTGGTATTAAGTAGCAAGTGCTAATGTGAATGTGAATTAGAAGTGCCAATGTCTGGAGCTATTATTGATCAAGAATTGATCAGAATAAAAAAGAAAGAAGAGCAAGAAGCTCGCAGAAGCATCATGAGGGCAGTTAAGAAAGAGACATCCAGAAAAGTTTTCCAAAGGTTAGAAGGTGATTTTGAGCCAAAAAACTTGTCCGAGGTATTCAAAGACCATGAAGCCTTGGAAGAAGTGGAAGATAAAGAAGCCAAAATACCAAAATGGGTGAAGGTTAGGCCTTCCCAACCAAGTTATGAAGGTGGTAATGTCAGGATGAAAGGAAAATGGAGGAACCTAGTATCCCCAATCACCAAGAAGGATTCTGCTCAACTTGGGTGGAAATGGTACGTAGTTGGAAATGATGGGAGACCTATCAAGGAAATAAGAGCTTCTATGATTAGGGGAGTCCAGAGGCAGCACAAAGCTTATATGAATTCACTAAAAGTTCCTATTGCATTAGAAACCTCTGAAAATGTGAAGTTTGAGAAAGTACCTCATGAGGGAAGAAATCAACTTCACTGGAGAAGCAAAAAGGAGGTAGATAGGGCTAATAGCAAGATTGAAGGAGAAGGAGATCATGTTCCACAAAGCCCTCATCCGGGAAAATACAGAATCTTGAGGAGAACTCAAGAGGATATGGTAATGATGCCAACCCTAAGATAGAGTCCAGAACCAATATGTTTTGGAACTATCTCGCTTGAAAGGAGAATGCCCTCACCTTTGTTGGTTGATACTCTTTGTGAAGTTCCACAGCAGGTACATGACTTTGGTATAACTCGGGAGGAAAAGTTGCCCGAGCTAATGTTGCCAAAAGAAGCACAGGCCTGGTTAGATGAATTCGTGGACCACATTGGGGGTAAGAATGAGGGTTTACCTGAACCTAGCAACTTCCACGTAAACATGACATATGTTCTATCTGCCATGTTTTGCGCCGAGCCAGATCAACCTGCCACAATGAAAGGTGATTTAGGAAAAACAGAATCGGGCAGAACATGTTTGCCCGAGCTTGCAAAGAAGGAGCCCGAGAGGGTATATTCATATAAAATGGTCGTCAACCGCCCGAGTTTAGCCCAAGCTAACCATCTGAAGCCTATATATGTGACTGCTCGTTTGGAGGGAATACCCTTTAAGAGGGTCTTGATTGATAGAGGAGCTACGATCAATGAGATACCATTAAAACAGATGAAGAAATTAGGAAGAAGTGAAAATTATCTTATTCCTACTGACTTAACAGTCTCTAGGTTTTTTGGAGCCATTACCAGAACTCATGGAATATTGCCTTTGGAGGTTGACTTGGGTTCCAAGAAAATCATGTTAGCTTTCTTCATGGTGGACAATATTTCTACTTATGGAGCTTTGCTTGGTAGAGATTGGATTTATCAGAGTCTCTCTATACCATCCACCTTGCATTAATAGGTAGCTATTTACTACGAGGAAAGAACTATGAGACTAGGATTTTGGGAAGTGGTGGAGGCCGAGTCACGACCATTCCTTCCCACAACCAATGTTGTAGAAGCTAGTTTCTACAATCCCAGTATTTTCTCCAGTGCTTAGGAGTTGATGAGAACAGCCGCCCGACTAAGGTGACGGCCCAAAAGCTTGTGGAACAAGAACTGCTTCTCACAAGGGAAGAATAGGATAGACCACATATCGTCCTGACTCCCCAACACCAGTAATGCCAGAACAAAGAAGAAAGGACCAAGTAGTTGCAGTCAAGTTCTTAATCAAGAGACTGTTAGTGTATGGGAGAGAGAGAAAGCAAGAAATGGACAGCTCAGCCAAAGAAGAAGAGAAATGGAAGGAAGAAACATCAAGCAGCCAGAACAAGGGTGAAAAAGAGTTTTTTGGGAAGGAGTTGGAAGCAGCCATACAAATGGCTGAATGTATAAATGACTTGGATTGGCCAGAGGATATGCTGGAGAGTCCGAAGTTGGTCAAATTTTTATGTGTAGAACCTGACAAGATAGCACCAGATGTACAAGACCCCTTAAAAACCATTGATTTGGGAACTGAGGGGGATCCAAGACCTATACAGATCAGTGGCTTGTTGGAAGTTGAAGATCGGGCAAGGATAGTCAGCTTTCTGCATGAGTTTAAAGACTGTTTTGCTTAGCATTACACTGAGATGCCAGGTTTAGATTCAACCTTAGTAGAACATATAATGCCTATTAAGGAGGCGTATAAACCTATGAAACAAGCACCATGAAGAATGTCGAAAGAGATCGAAGAAA